ACGCCCTCTCCTATCTGCAACAACTTGGGGAAGAATATGGAAGATCAAGGAGGAGCGCCCTCTCCTCAGGGGCTGCACGCCCTCTACTCTTGCGCTTTGCTTCCAATATAGTTCTTTATGTTCATGCTATATGACCAATTTCTCCTTGCATCTACAAACACGAACACACACATAAAAAGGAACGGGAAAGCAAAAAGTTGTAATCATACACAAAAAGGAGTCGGAAAAGGGGGTAAAGAGGGGAAATGACAACAAAATTGTGCTAAAAATATCATGATAAGTGGACAAATAAAACACTTATCAGAATGCAGCAAGTATCTGGATGATGAGGCGAAAGGAAAAGTAACCTCAACCTCAGGTATCATCTTAAACACTTGAATATAAGCAATTTTAAAAGGTATTAGATACCGGAAAATTGACTCACAATACATTACTTTTTCAGGAACCAAGTGAGCGGTGCTTTTTCATGTGGAAATGAGTTCACAAGTAGGATGAAGGTGATCTATCCAAGAAAACTTGTAATCTCATGTTTTGTCTAAAGAAGTAGAACTTATTTAGTTTTATGCACCATACTTTTGATGTATTTCCGACGTTGGACGTCGTTTTCATCAACCAAGACTTTTGTTTTGATGTCTTGAATATATTTATGGAATGACACTTTCACGTGTTTTTAGACAAAATGTTTGATACCAATGCAAAGAAAGCTAAGACTACACCGTCTAGTCAAACTTACTTGTGGCACTGTCGTCTTGGCCACATTAACATCAAACGCATCAAGAAGCTTCTTCAAGAAGGTATTCTTGACTCATTTGATTTAGAATCCTTTGAGAATTGCGAAGGATGTTTATTAGGAAAGATGATAAAGCAACCATTCTCCAAGTTGGGAGAAAGGGCCGGTGACTTGTTGGGACTAATACACACCGATGTATGTGGGCCAATGAGTACACCCGCAAGGAGTGGTTATCGGTATTTCATAACCTTCACGGACGACTATAGTAGATATGGTTATGTCAATCTAATGTCGCATAAATCTAAATCGTTTGATAAATTCAAGGAATTTCATAACGAATTTGAAAACCAACTCGGCAAGAAAATCAAAGCACCTCGATCGGATCGAGGTGGCGAATATTTGAGCCAAGAATTCGATGACCATCTGAAAGAACATGGAATACTTTCAGAGTTAACACCTCTGGGAACTCCTCAATGGAATGGAGTATCTGAAAGGAGAAATCGAACCCTGTTAGACATGGTCCGATCGACTATGGGTCTTAGTGAACTTCCAATCTCTTTCTGGGGACATGCACTTTTAACTGTGGCACTTACACTGAATCGTGCTCCGTCAAAGGCAGTGGAAAAGACTCCATATGAATTATGGACAAATAAACCTCCAAGGTTGTCTTTTCTCAAGATTTAGGGATGCGAAGCATATGTCAAGAAACTCATTTCTGACAAATTTCATCCGAAATCTGACAAGGTTTACTTTGTGGGTTATCCAAAAGAAACCAAAGGGTATTACTTCTACAACAAATCCGAGAACAAAGTGTTTGTTGCTCGTGATGGTGTCTTTTTGGAGAAGGAGCATCTCTCCAAAATGACAAGTGGGAGGAAAATCGAACTCGACGAAGTTCGAAAGGACGAGCAACAAGGACAAGTTGACAATCAAAGTGCTCACGAAGCATCTGTTGACATTGGTCAAAGTCAAAATATGCAAAGTCAAACCGACAATGCAAATGCTCAGTCCATCACCCTACGTAGGTCAACTCGGCCAAGATCTCAACCTGACAGACATCTCGGTGTTGTATTAACCGAAGATCAGGACATCCTAGTATTGGATGGAGATGAGCCGGCAACCTACAAGCAAGCTATGACAAGCCCCGACTCTGCAAAATGGCAAGAGGCCATGAAATCCGAAATGGACTCCATGTTTGAAAATCAAGTATGGGACTTGGTTGACTTACCCGTAGGTTACACACCTATCGGATGTAAATGGATTTTCAAGATGAAAACCGACAAAGATGGAAATGTATTCATTTACAAAGCAAGGCTGGTAGCAAAAGGTTACAGGAAAATTCACAGCGTTGATTATGATGAAACCTTTTCTCCAGTAGCTATGCTTAAGTCCGTTTGAATTCTTCTAGCGATTGCTGTAATATGGCAGATGGACGTCAAAACCGCCTTCCTCAATGGAATTTTGGAAGAAACTGTGTACATGACACACCCTGAAGATTTTGTCGACCAGAACAATCCTAAGAAGGTATGCAAGCTTAAGAAGTCCATTTATGGATTAAAGCAAGCAAGCAGAAGTTGGAATCTGCGATTTGATGAAGCCATCAATAAGTTTGGTTTTATCAAGAATCCAAATGAGTCTTGTGTTTACAAGAAGGTCAGTGGGAGTGACATCGCCTTCCTAGTCTTATATGTCGATGACATTTTTCTCATTGGAAATAGCATTCTGTTGTTAGAGTCTGTAAAGGCTTGGCTCGGGAAATGTTTTTCAATGAAAGACTTGGGAGAGGCTCAGTACATACTAGGCATCAAGATCTATAGGGATAGATCAAAGAGGATGATAGGAATGAGTCAAAGTACTTACATCGATAAGGTACTAGCTCGATTCCAAATGGAAGGAGCCAAGAGAGGGCATCTACCCATGTCACATGGCATAACCTTAAGCAAGAAGCAGTGTCCAAAGACACCTGATGAGCGAGAAAGAATGAGTCGTATTCCATATGCTTCGCTTATTGGATCGATTATGTATGCCATGATATGCACTAGGCCGGATGTATCGTATGCCTTGAGTGCTACGAGCCAATACCAATCAGACCCAGGAGAGGCGCATTGGACTACGGCCAAGAATATTCTAAAGTACCTGAAAAGGAACAAGGATAAATTCCTGGTCTATGGCGGTAAAGATGAATTGGTTGTTGAGGGATATACCGACGCAAGCTTCCAGACTGACAGAGACGACTCCAAGTCACAATCTGGATACATATTTTGTCTCAATGGAGGAGCGTTTATTTGGAAGAGTGCAAAGCAAAGCACAACCGCTGATTCTACAACTGAAGTCGAGTACTTGGCAGCGTCTGAGGCAGCCAAGGAGGCAGTTTGGATTCGCAAGTTCATTGATGAACTTAATGTTGTACCCTCCATCAAGGGTCCAATAGACCTCCATTGTGACAACAATGGAGCTATTGCTCAGGCTAGAGAGCCACGAGAACATCAGAAGGTCAAACATGTCAAAAGGCGATTTCACATGATTCGAGAATGGAAGACAGAGAGTGAAATCAGAATTTGCAAAGTGGGAACGGATGACAATGTAGCCGATCCACTTACTAAACCTTGTCTCAAGTGAAGCACAACAAACACATTGAGGCAATGGGAATCAAGCATGTCGCGAACTGGCTTTGATTTCCATATTATAGTGTTTTAATTAAATTTTGGAAAATGTTAATGTAAAGCACTATGATGAACCATTCAGTTTTTGGAGTAATTAAAATTTTTCATGCAATTTAATTCACTCCATCTCTATTTAATTGTGGTTTAGAATTAAATAATGAGTCCATTCGATTTTAATAAATATTCAAAATAGGGTATCAAGTCAATGGCTTGGATAAAGAAACACCTATTAAGTGAACATTGAATATTTTAATCGAAAATTATCCCTAATCAAGGTCATATTTTTTGTGGACGATTAATGACCATTAGAGATTAGTGTGTAGTATGATTTATAGCACCGTTTCTTGTGCTATGAGGATATAAATCATTTGCACAGGTATTGGTTTAGAACCATACTGGATCGACCTATGAGAATACTTTAAGAGATTTAAAATCGTCATAAGTATTTTTCTCATTATAACTATCGGAACTCTTTTCCTTGACCATGAGTAGTGGGAGGTCTCTTGTTTGAGTACTAGCACTAGTAGAAAAATGTACATTTGCGTCGCCATATTTGCGTCACTCATTCTAAGGAGCGAAGCAAATGTTTTATTTTACCTTCCTTTTAAATTATTTGTGTCGCATATTATTTAAGAAGCGACGCAAAACTCAAGTGCATTTCAGCTTTCTATCATTTGCGTCGCTCCTATTTATTAAAGCGACACAATTAATAAACTTATTTGCGTCACTCATTAGTTAGCAAGCGACGCAAATAAGTGATTAAGTAAATTGCGTCACTCTTTTACTAATGAGCGACGCATATGTACATTGTACAACATTATAAACAAGGTTATTTGCGTCGCTTTTTTATAATAAAGTGACGAAATAACTCTTTTGGCTTTAGGTTTTTCTGCGTTTTTTACCTTAGTTTTTCATCAGGTACCTACATTCACTATACAAAAAGAAAAAAAAAAAACAAGAGTTCTTAAATTCCAGCGAATTTCTACAGCAAAACACCCACAAATTTGTCTCTGAAATCCAACAAATTTGGCCAAAAACTTGCGTTTCCCCAGCAAATTTAACATCTGAAATCGCAGTGAAGTCGAAGACCCATAATCGGCTGCAAATTCGAGCAATTTCGAGCAAAAATTTAGACCAAAAACCCTAAGAAATTCGAAGCCTTAAACCTAGAAAAATTGATTGTTTCCGACCAAAAATCCCCCATTTCGAGCAAAAAATCAACTCAAAAGCATACAAATTCGAACCCTAAAAGCCCCAAAAAATTCAATTTCGGTCTTCAAGTTCGATTGGGGGATTTCGTGGGGGGATTTCTAGGGTTTTTGGCAGCGACGCAATATACCCTAAGAAATTCGTCCCATTTCAGTCATAAATATTTTTTGTTCGAATTTCAGTCAAGAAATTACAGCAACAATAGGTTAAGTCAAGAAATTACAGCAACAATAATTGTTTGAATTACGTTTTTTTCTGGGTTCAAGTCAAGAAATTACAGCAACAAAAATTCGAGCAATAACTGAAATTTTCGAGTGGAAAAATCGCTTAATTCGCCCCAAAAAACCCGAGGAAGTTCAAGCAAATTACAGCAACAACAATTGAAGTTCGATTACGGCTCGACATTGTTGAATTTTTGAAGTCAATTCCACCTATGGTAAGATTGCTTCTATTTATGTTCAATCTTTTCTTGGTTTAAGGCTTCGAATTCGGGGAAGATTAATGAGTGTGCTGAGTAAGCTTAATTTGCAAACTTTGGCTATTCTTACATGATTCATAATTATTGTGTCTCTGCTTGGTAATTTTGCAAACTTTGATTTAAGTTATTACTGCCTTAATCTATTCTAGTCTAGTACAAATGTACATTACTTGATGATTTAAGTTATTACTGCCTTAATTGCAATTAAAAAGTCCATTATGATCTCGGGTTTAGTCATTGAAGCATGCTGAACGAGCACTTCAGTCGAGTGATACATTGTTATGTCTATCTTAGTTGTAATTAGCCTAACAGATGATTAAGGTTTACGTGCTCGCATTTGTAAGCATCGAAAAGTCGATATCCATCATACATACTGTCATGCAGCTTGATTATTGCTGGCATGTTGTTCAACATACCTTAAGAGCATGGTTCAACCCCTGGCCTAAGATCTGCCTTTTGGTCCAAACTTAACTTTTCCGGCAATTGGAAATTGAACCTTTTCTGAACTTGGACCACAACAAGCAATTCAAGAATTAACATGAAAATATAAATATAAATATAAATATAAATGGAAGTATAAAATGTCAGTGTAATCATTGAAGTGTAGCAAACTTAAAATTTACTGTAATGAAGCTTTAGGTGTCGGCTCCTGTAATGGTCTTCACATATTCATCAGTTCTGTAAGACCTTTTTGTTTTGCTGGCATTAGAAATTTAGTTTAAACCTTTATTGAAAAGGAGGCAATGTCAGTATTTCTTACTCAACTAATGTTATGACTATTTGGCTAATAATGAAAAATAGTGTAAATGTACTTTTTTAACTAGTGGTTTTTAGTGATGATGGTTTTTAACTTGTTTTTAAACCTAGTATCAAGTTTTCTTATCTGTTAAGCTACTTTTGAAGGCCTAAATCTGGAGGAAAAAACCCAGAATTATTATTATTATTATTTTCAATTTTTTTTTTTGTAAGTCTCAAGCATGAACAACTGTCATCTCCGATTCATTAAAATGGAGAATCCGTATGTTCCCTTGTAAATGGTTGAATAAAAGGAAGTTATTGTGAATCAAATGATCATTGATAAAACAATTAATACATATGAAATTATATAAGGGAATGGTGTTATATGCATTGCTTTTTATCTTAGTCTAGGGCTACCGGGGTAGATTCTAAAACATTGCTAATTGCAGATCATTTTATCCTTACGCTTAAGTAAAAATTGATATGTACTGTAATACACTTTGGTTATGCATGACATATTCATCCTTTGTTACATTAATTCACTTATGATTCTAGTCTATTAGCCGCTTCATCTATATATACTGCTTGGTTAGTTCTCATCTGGAAATATTTTTTTCTTATTGATTTCTAAATTTTGGTTGGTTTAAATCTTGGCAGTACTTGGATGAAAACAAGTCTTTGATTCTGAATATTGTGGAAAGCCAGAATTCGGGGAAGATTAATGAGTGTACTGAGTAAGCTTTACTGGCAAACTTTGGCTATTCTTACATGATTCATAATTGTGTCTCTGCTTGGTAATTTTGCAAACTAGTGCGAAATGGTTAGTACTCTAGTTTTTAAGGCAATTAGGTCAGATTAATTATCAATTTTATCATATTGATCCATTCTTTCATTGTATGGTTAAAGGTGGTATGCAAAACGATTTCTACATCCTGACATTGTGGCACCATATGATTACATATTTATCTGGGACGAAGATTTGGGAGTGGATAATTTTGATTCTTAAAAGTTAGCACTCTTTCTGCATCATATCCTCTAATGTCTTGAGCTATTCAGTACAGAACTTTTGTCATTTTTTTTATTGAATTTTCAGATACGTTGATTTGGTTAAGAAACATGGTTTGGAAATTTCACAGCCTGGTGTGGATCCTAATAGTCCGTTTACATGGCAGATTACAAGGAAAAGACATGACAGTGAAGTTCACAAGTAATAACTACTAATGATGTATAATTTATACCCAGTTATCTTCCTTTACAACAGAAGCAGGATTTCGATATTAATTACCAAAATATTGATCTGAGTTGTTTCTTGGGTGCACTTTGCAGGAGCACAGAGGAGAAACCAGGATGTTAAATTTCAGTTAAATTGTTCAATTTTTGCTACAAAAATGGAGAATGATTCTTCCAAGAAAATTGAAGTTTCTGCCCTAAACCCCAATTTACAATCAAGAGGTGCTTTGGTTGTATTAGAAAGGTTAGATCGAAGTGGAAAGAGCTCTCAGTGTATTCAGCTTCTCTCTCACTTGCAAAGTATTGGGTGTTCTGCTGAAATATGGCGGTTTTCGGATCGAAATACTGCTGTTGGGCAGATGATCTCTGCTTATCTTTCCAATCAATCTAATTTGGATGATCATACTATTCATCTTTTGTTCAGTGCTAATCGTTGGGAGAAAAGGTTGTTTCTTTTTTCTTTTTATGATTTTTTTTTTATACATAATTTGTGAGTTGCATACCATGTGTTTGATGTTATGTTTAGCTGAATCTAATTCCTATCTATGTTGTTATTTATTGGTTAATTTATTTGGTAAGATCTGAGACATGGCTGTTAAACCAAATCTTAATTTTTTCATAGCTTGCATCAGACTGTACAATTTTGGTAAGGTTGTAAGGTTAATAGGTTTGACAGTGGTGACTTTATCTTGCATAGTGTCATTATAGTGATGCCTGCAATATTATGTAGTGCAGGTTATACTAATTTTCTTTTACTTAAACATGTTCCAGTTTCTTGCAATGTTCTTTTTATTTTTGTAAATTATGTTTTTTAACTAGATTCTGTGAGATAGTTGTTGTTTCATCAAATTCCGTAATAATGCCATCTAGATTTTCATACGATGCTGAATGATAACAGATGGTTGATGCCTGCTTGCCAATGGAAGAAGTCCAGAAGAAGCTCAGAGAATATGTGCTTGAGTGTGTTGCGGCCTGCAAAAATGGAAGGGCTCTGTCTCACTTCTGGTCACAATAGGCAAGCTGCCATATGCCTCTTGCTCGCTTGGGCGAAATTGTATACTATAGTCAGTAATCAGTAGTTACCACGTTTTGAACTCTAGGTTGAGCTGTTGAGGTACTTCTACCTTTAAGTTTAAGTCTAGAAGTTGGAGTTGTATTATACGTTGATTTGGTTAAGAAACATGGTTTGGAAATTTTATGGGTAGGCCAAATTACAAAGGAGACTCTGCCGAAATTTACATTTGCATTATTCAATAATATTGCATTTTAATTTCAATTATATTAGCGTTAGCATATTACTTTATACCTAGGAAAACAGGTACTACAAACATATACAAGGCAATTATTATATTATAATTAAAAAAAAAAAAATCACCTCATTTGCGTCACTCATTAAACAAACAAGTGACGCAAATACAGCAGTTTTGTATTGTCTACTCAGTCATTTGCGTCACTCCTATATAAACAAGTGACGCAAATAACAAAAAATAAGTTTATTTATTTTTTGTTATTTGCGTCGCTTGTTTATAAAGGAGCGACGCAAATAACAAAAAAAGTTTATCTAAAGAGTCATTTGCGTCGCTTGTTTATAAAGGGGCGACGCAAATGACTAAAAATAAGTTTATCAGAAAATTCATTTGCGTCGCTCTTTTATAAAGGAGTGACGTAAATAACAAAAAATAAGTTTATTTGAAGAGTTATTTGCGTCGCTCCTTTATAAAAGAGTGACGCAAATAACAAAAAATAAGTTTGTCAGAAGAGTCATTTGCGTCGCTTATTTATAAAGGAGCGACGCAAATGACCAAAAATATGTTTATCAAAAAAGTCATTTGCGTCGCTCCTTTATAAAGGAGTGACGCAAATGACTCTTATTTGCGTTGCGCCTAGGAGCGACGCAAATGACTTAAAAGTCATTTGCGTCGCGAGCAGTTGCATCGCTCATAGAAGCGACGCAAATACACTATAAATGAGCGACGCAAATGAGCCTTTTTCTACTAGTATAGTTCGCTTTGGTATCCGCCAAACGTCTGCCGTAACTGAGGATTATAATGACAGATATCGGGCGGCTAGGTCCTCTTAGTAAGAGAAGCTACATTAAAAGACTGGAAATGTCCCCTTACTAACAATAGGGAATATGTCTTGTTGTTTACAAGGCCTCTCGAAGAGCGAGACTGTGAAAATGCATGGCCGTGCTCAGATGGATTTTAGAAATCATCTGCTTATTGACAGTCAAACTCGGATTTCGAGAAACACTTCTGGACGTAACAGAGATGACGAGTAATCTTACTCTGCAGTTCATGAAGAGACATAGGAAAGGGGCTATACACTAAATACACACTTATCCGGAAGGAAAAGTGGGAGATTGAAAGGAATGGTATCCTTCGAACAAGTGTATTATTCTGATAGCGGGTTCAGAATTATTAGAAAGCTAATATATTCAGTAAGGTCAAGTGATCGGAATGCCTGGGTGGAGGTCGCTTCCGATCAGTAATATTAATATAATTAATATTTGTAGACACCCATTTATGTCTCCCCAAAACCAAACCCAGTGATGAGTACCTTTCACGTCGAGTCATAATCGAATGAAACGAAAGTGTGGAAAGGTCTGGTGTTGCGGAAAGTTTTATTTCTTTTCTTTTCTCTTCTCTCTGTTTTTGAAAACTTTATGAAAACAGCCAATCCATTTTGTTTGGCCATGATATGGGTCCAATACTGGTGTAGTTGGATGGGGCTTGCAAAGACCTTTCCAGCGATATATTATAAGCCCAATTCCGATGAATATTGAGGAAGTTATGGTCAATTTACTAAACTGGGCCCGGTTTGAGCTTTAAGTACGGCCCAATGATCTAGGGGAGGGTCTAATATGATTTATCATTCCTAATGTAATTAGGAATGGTTTTGGTCTTCTAGAACATTCTAGAAGGTTTTATCATTCTTAATTCAATTAGGATTCTTCAGAGTTTTAATTAGATCAAATAGCATTTTCGACTGAATTTATATTATTTTATCTTCCAGTACGGGAAATTTATCGGATTTTCGAAAACGCGTTGAAATCCAATTTGGCGTCCAACCCCTGGCCTTGGCGCCTGGAATCAGGATTGGCGCCAGACGCCAGCCATTGGCGCCTGGCGCTAGCCACTGGTCCTGGCGCCAAGTTAGTTTTGCGATCTTCAGACTCTGTTTTGATAAATTATCTTTTTTGGATGATTTTCTCTATAAATATCGTATCAAAAACTCCGGTTTCAGGATCAACAATCACTTTATGAATTACCAATAATCAACTCTCTTCATTCACAAATTATTCATCAATTACCATTCATTAAATCTCTTCATTCATCATCTACATCATTCATCCATCAACTTTCATCAACATCCTTTAGCATTCTTTCTTTCTTGCTTTTTCACACAAAATTCCGCATTCACAAGATCTTGATACACCTAGCCATATTCGAATTTGCCTTCGCCCTAGACGTGAAAGGTTTTAATTTCTGAGGGTTTGGTCCTAAATCTCTCTTTTAATTATTTAATTTAATTGTTTTGATTATTATTTTTCCTTGAAGTTACTAACGTGTGTATTTTGTAATTAGAAAGAGGTACGAGGCATCCAAGTAAGTACTTTGATGGTTTAATTGATTTTATGATGTAGATATCATGCTTAGATTGTTATTTTGATTCCTAGTATCATGTCTAGGGTATCTTTAATATCAAGTATGATTAAAAGTATGATGCTTCCTATACTATTCCTAATATTTATGATTATTATGATTATGATTGATTATTTATTATGTTGCTTGATATGCATATTATTTTATATTGTTATTGCTTGATCACCTTTTATTGCATGTTAAAGGGAATTTGTATTTGCAAACACGCTTAATAAGATATTTAATAATCTTGTTAGGTTAATTGTGATTATAATTCAAGTGATCGCCAATAATAGATTTGTTTGTGCATTAATATTCAACCAACATAGATTAAACAGGTTTAGGGTTAATCCTATTAATTGTATGTTAGTCAGAAAGCGCACATGAATACGATCAGAATAAAGTAGAGGCCTATTATTAGGGCAGGTTCAATCTCTTTTAGGTTGGATTTGTACCATCATCCCCGAACCCTTATTTGGTTCATGACCTTATGGATTTGACGATCTCTTGGATCGTTAAGGGGTGTAACCTTCATCCTATGAACGGTTTACAAGTTCCTTGAAAACTTGTTGGCGACTCTTTTGCTCTATCTTCTTCCCTTTTGGACGCCACCGTACTTTAGTGTATGATCACAGTGGGGTTCAAGCTAGTGGGATTTTTAAGGCTTGAAATTATTCCCTACAATATTACAGCTTAATCTTGACTGAACCCTTCGGGTCACACCCAAGCAAAATATACGAACCGACTCGACGAATTAATTCGGAAGAAATTAATTCGTCACCCGAGTGTTAAATATTTAGACGTCGGTAATTCGAGCTTGGTGCGTCAAAACCGATCGTCGGAAGTTGAGTCAAAAATAATAAAAAGACGAGACGCGCAAAATAATAATAAATCGACCATATTCCCAAAATACCCCTAGCATCGGAATGCCCCGAGCATCCGAATGCTAGGGGCAAAAAAGTCCAAGCATAAGTGGCTAGCAAGCGCACCAAGCCGAGCCTGGCATGGCTGGCTAGGTGCGTGCTAGCAGCCACGCACAGCAGCAGCTAGCAGCCGCAAGCTAGGTGTGCTAGTAGCGCACGTACTAGCAGCCACGCACAGCAGCAAGCCCGCACCAAGTGCGTGGATTGCGCGCACAGCAGCAGCCCGCATCTTGGTGCGGGGCTGGGCTCGGGTTGGGCTCGTGGCTGGGCCATAGAGCCGGTCACTATGGGGAAGCTTGAGGAATATGGGAGCAAGTGGGTAAGGACATGTGGCACAAGGAGAGTATTGAGTGGGGAGCAAGTATGGTCCCCTACTCTCCATGTGGTCCTCGCCAACCCATTTCACATGGTAATGCCACTTGTAGATTTATTATTAGTTTGCAATTTTAATTTAATTTAGCTTTAAATTAATTTGTGGAATTTCATGATCCCACATTGATGGGATAGAAATTCCCAGTCATACTTTCCTCTATAAATACCAACCTTGGGATTTGGAGTAAAGTGCTTGAGTGGGAGTTAGAAAGAGCATTCCATATTTTGGAAAAACTCTTAAACTCCATTAACACTTGGGTTTTGGTCGGACCTTGCTAACTCCAAGGTAGAGGACCTAAAAAGTCGTGTTCGTCCTTTGTGGGTGGATACCGTTGAAGGCACGGCATTTGCGGTGCTCAAGGCTTTCAAGTAAGAGCCCGTTTTGAGAGGGCGAAGCTCGCTTCAAGGGTATGATTCGTTATTCCTTTTCTTGTGTTTATTTAATTATGTTTTATGGTTTTATTAATTACGAGTGGTTCCTTAGGTCGGGGTTGTTTCCGCGGTGAGTCGGACTCACCAAACCCCAACAGGGTATGAGATAAAGATGGCTGAAAGTGGTTTCGTCAGTCTATGCAAAAAAGGAAGTCGGTTGGTTTTGAATACCGATGTGAATGACAGGGGTTGGAAGAAGTGGTTCCTATTTGTTAAGAGGGTGTCGTTGGGTAATGACGGACTGTGGCTGACGGAGGGATGGCCGACGAAGGGTAAGTATTTTTATGGTATTCTTGTTCCTCTAGCTTGATTTTGGCTAAATGGTTTGATCTTTTCTCTAATTACGCAGAGCTGGACTTGGGCTTTCTTGAGTCGTCGGAGACCTCTTCGTAGAAGGTAAAAGAATTTCTTGCCATCAGTCCTTCAGCAAGAAAGTTCGTGCGAAAGAAGAAGTCGACGAGCGACCAAGCGGGGCAAGGACAGAGCACTCCAGTGAGCACATCAAAACAAGCAGAGGATTCCGAAGAGACAATGTCAACTCGTAAGTTTTTATTTAGCGCAAGGTGACTTTCGTTGCTTCGTTATTGTGTCGTTGCTTTGTAGTTATCCATGTCTTAATGCATTGTCGGAGTCGGCTGCTCAAGGCATTCGTCGAGGTCGGAGCTTGACTCAGCAAGAGGCCGATTTGCGAATGAGGAGGAAGCGGGGCTTGAATCCTCAGGAAAAACGACCGTCGGAGGTGGCGGAGAAATCGGAGCCCGTTCAGACTCCGGGAACTCAGAGGACCGTCGACGAGTTTGGCACTATTACTTTATCTCCGTCCCTCCACGCAAACAGCAGAAAGTTGACGATGATCTCGCCGTCCCTGACATCTTGGCGCGCTTTCCTGCAGATTTCTTAGACCT